GGGTCTCAAAATTGGGGTTTGTATCACACCGGAGTCCTCCTGGAGACCTCAAAGCCTCCCGCGCCTCTTCTTAATTGTCCAGTCGCCCAAAGGGGGCTCCCCAGAGAGGCCGCTCCTGCAGGGAAGGGCTGGCCGAAATGCTAGATTTGTCTGCAAGGGGGCGAGGGCGGGGGTGGGTGGGTCTCCTGCAAGGAGTATTGTGGCATCTCTGTAATAAGGAAGCGGGGAGAGGTTGGAACTAGGTTAGGGAAAGCAAGGAGCTTGGAGGAGGAAGAGGAAGGAAGGGAAGGAGGAAGGAGGGGAGGGGGGCCTGGAGCCGAGTTTATCTGAGGCCACCCAGCCTTCTCTCTGAACGGGAGGCTGCTGCCCGTGTTTGGCAAAGAGCAGAAACACCCTCAAACTCTTTCCTTGGGCTGACGTCACGGCCAAATCACAGCCACCCAACTCTCTTTTTTCGGCGTTAGTGGAGCAGAAACTTCCCTCCGTGCCAGGCAGCCTTTCTCGAAAGCCAAATACGGCCGAGTCCAGGGCTGAATCTTTGGCCCCCTGGACCTCCGCTGGCCTTGAACCTCTGCACTTTCCAAGCAATTAGATGGAAAGGGAGGGAGGGAGGGAGGAAGGAGAGGGGTTATTTTATTATGGAAAGGAAGGGAGGAGGAGGGAGGGAGAAAGTAAAAGAAGAGGGAAGAGGAAGAAAGGAGGGAAAGAGAAAAAGGAGAGAGGGAGAAAGGGAGGGAGAAGGAGAGGAAAGAAGGAAGGAAATGAGAAAAAAAGAGGGAGAGAAGGAAGGAAGGAAGGAAGGAAGCCTTCTGCGTGTCTGTTCTGGCATTCTTCTTTCCTCATGGTGGTTTTCTTTAGCCAAGATGAAATGCTGGCTTGCCCAGATGGAAAAGGACCTTGAGGGAAGAGAGATCAGGCATTTCATTTCTGGGCGATGGTTGCCCTCTGCTGGTCCAAAGATATATGACAGTCTTCTTCCTGCTTCCCATCATCCGGCAAGGCCAAATTTCAAAAAAGTCAAAATCAAAGTTTTCTACTTCCAGCAACTTCTCTTCTTCAAGGCTCGGAAGAGACTGGGCAGCCATTTGTCTGGAATGCTATAGGGTCTTGTGCTTGAGCACGGGTTGGACTAGAAGACCTCGGAGGTCCCTTCCATCCCTGTCATTCTGTCTTCTGTGTTCTGGTTTTATTTTCTCAGTGAAATAAGAGCCGCATTTTCATCCTTTGACTCTTAATTGAACCAAGTCCAGGCTGATATTTGATGACTGGCCAGTTTGCATTTGTTTGTTTCCTTTGGGTTTTTTAAAAAAATTTTTTGTCCCTTCCAGCTTTTTAAGAGCTTTTCTCAATAATAAACATTTCACGAGGGAGAGAATGACTCCATACCTTTTTTTTAAAAAGGGGGATTTCCCCCCCCCTTCGCTTGTAAAAGAGGATGGAGCAATTTCTATCATGAGTTGTGGAAGGCAAAACAAATCCTTGCTAATAGGATTAGTATTGATTTTGCTTTCTTCAACACAAGAACATCCTAAGCCTTTAAAGGCAACCACGGAGGGCGGGGGGAACGAACGAAGGGGGTGTTGGGGCTTAGAAGAAGTCTACAACAACCCAGCAGGGTGGAACAAATGGCAAATTTATAGGCCAGTTAGAGGCATATAATAAGCAGCACAAATGTAGTCCTCAGTTCATAACCATCCGTTTAGCAAAAATTCAAAGTTGGCGCTGAAAAAAGTGAATTGCAACCACTCCTTGTACTTGCCACCATTGCAATGTCGCCTCCCAGTATTGCGTGATTGCCATCCAGGTGCTTAGCAACTGACTCGCATTTATGACCGTTGCAGCATCCCGCACTCCCGTGTCGCCAGTGGTGGGATTCAAATTTTTTTACTAGCGGTTCTGTTGGGCGTGGCTTGGTGAGCGTGGCAGGGGATAGCGTTAAATCTCCAGTCAGAGGTGGGATTGGCCGGTTCTCTGAACTGCTCAGAATTTCCGCTATTGGTTCTCCAGAACTGGCCAAAACCTGCTGAAGACCCACCTCTGCGTGTCGCCATTCGCAGCTGACTTCTGATCAGCAACATCGGTTGGGGAAAGTGGATTCATTTAACGCCCATGGGGGAGAAAGGGTTGAAAAATTGGCTGTGATTCATTTAATGACAAGATTGTCTAGCAATTTACATTCCAATCCCAATTACGGTCATAAATCGAGGGCTACTTTTAATCCAGGTTGCAGGTTGTGCATTTTTCTTTTTGCAATAGTGCAAAAAAGTTCAAAACATGCAACACCTACTTTCCACCCTGGAGGAAAAGTGGGCTTACCCTCTCTAAAGATGGCTGTTCCCACCTCAACCCTGACCTATTGTTTAAAATTCTTAGGAAACGCAGCACTGAGGGCAGTGAAGGACCGAACCTTAATCCTTGGGCGATTAAGAGATGAAGTGGAATAAAAAAAAAAAAGCTTCACAGTTAAGGAGTTCCTAGGTTTGGGAAGGACTGTCGTATAACGGTGCCCAAAAGAAAGATGGCGACGGTGCTCACAGCGGGGCGTCGGAAAAGGGGGAAGTTCTGTTGCCAGGCAACGACGTTAGAGAGAGGGCGTTCCCCGCTCTGCATTTTAATTGGGCAATTTCACCGGAGATGTAATGCTGCGGAAGGCGGAAGTGCTGGCGGGGAGCAGTTGAGATCGGAGTGGTGAGGGTCCTGCGGCTTCTTCCATGCGAACCCGGCGGGTGAGTGGCGCAGGCGGGGCCTCCCTAGCCGCGATTTGTCTATGGATCTATGCAAATCAAGTTTGCAGGAGCTGGGGGAGAGGGGGTGGAAGCATGCTAATTTATGCAAATATATGCTAATGTTTGCATAAATGCATTATTAATTTTAAGGATTACTTGGGATAGTTATGTGGGTTTGGGGAGATAGATAGAATTATATGCATGTCATGCATATAATTATATATAATTATAATTATATATATAATTATATGCATGTCATACATAATTATATGCATGTCATTAAGCATGCTTTATATATATACACGTCTATACTTACATTATATATATATATACGTATACTAATATATATAATTTAAAAATGTACATCAATTTTATTTACATTTTATATGAATTGTAATATACTATAAAACCAATCTATTAACATAGGTATTTGTTCCATGTACATTAGTCGCGCCCGAGAACATCCTTATCCTATGCAAGTAGTTCTTTACACGAATGAATCGGCAGAGGTGCGGTTGAGTATTTCTAGTATTACATGAATTACTTGCCTAATGAGCTTATGCCAATGTTGACGCAAATGTCTATTGGAGTGCATGGGCCATAGCCAGGCAGGCTTCCCCCCCTTCCTGCATTTTGGGACCTCTGAAGAGCATCAGGCTGGTCTCCACTGGTTTCTAAGTCGAGCGTTGATTTGCTAGCCATTTAACAGAATGCAGAAAGAATCACAAGAGTCGGGAGGGACCTTGGAGGTCTTCTAGCCCAACCCCCTGCTCAAGCAAGAGACCCTATAACCATCCCGGAGAAGGGGCTGTCCGGCCTCTTCTTGAAGAGCTCCGGGGGTGGAGCAGCCACAGCTTCTGCAGACAACCTCCCTTCCACGGATGGATTGTTCTCTCCTATAGGAAATGTTCTCCTGGTTTCTGGGGTCCTTGATGGACTTTCTTTCTCCTCCTCCTCCCGCAGGGTCCTTTGCAAAACGGGACCTCCAGGCGTCCCTCAAAGAAGCCGAGGTGTGAAAGGAAACGGGGGCCCAGGCAGAAGGCAGGATCCCAGGTGGGTCCAGCTGATGAAGCCCCCTTGGGAGCATCCACCCTGGACCTGGAGGTGAGGCTGCAGAGCGAAGAGAAGGGGCCTCCAGAAGACCCCCAAGATGTAGCTGACGAGAACAGGGAGCCCAGGAGGACTGAGGAAGGGGAAGGGGAGGACCAGGACGAAGGAGAAGAGACCGACATGGGTGGCGCATCCACCTCTGTGCAGATGGAGCCGGAGGAGGCGTCCGGTCAAATTGGCGAGCTGGACAACAGCGTCTTCTTGAATGAGGACAGTAACCAGCCACTGCCCATGGACCGGTTCTTTGGGAGCGTGGCGTTCACACAGGTAAGGGTAGGTGCGGTTCGCCTTCTGCAAGGCTGGCTGGGGGACTCTGAGAGTCCGCAAGGTTGGGCGGGTGGGGAAGAGGGAAAAGAACGGCCTCGTTTCTTTGGAGCAAAAATGGCGGACGGTTCCTCCTCTTCATTGGGGGGAAGGCGGAGCGGAGGGCTGCCACGCTGGCTCTGAAGGCCCTCACCAGGGGTCTCTTTCTTCCAGGACCTCCCACCGGCCTCCTTCTCACGGACCAACACCAGCAGGCGGGAGTTCCGGAGAATGCATTTTATTGCCAAAGAGGAGGAGGAGGAGGAGGAGAGTGGAGAAGAGGTTGCCTGAAGGCCAGCGAGAATCAGTCTCAGGTGAATTGTCCCTTTTCCAGATGCAGCAAAGACTAACAATGTTCCCCGCCATTGTAGCATCTTCTAGAGTTTGTGTTCTTCAGAAAGAACCATCGCCGTGACGGTGATGGACGCTGGGCCATTCGCAAACCAAGCTCCCCGTTTCTGGCGAAGCCCGTGGGTCACAGCACCCACTACGGCCATCCCCATTGGACTTGAGGAAACGACAACCAGCCACCCAGAAGTGGTGGGTGCTCTATCACTGGAGGTCTTCAAAGAGATTGGACAGCCTGCTTGAGCAGGGGGTTGGATTAGATGACCTCAGAGGTCCTGTCCAACTGTTATTCTGTATGCTTCTTTCTCGAGGCATATCGTTTCTTTCTTTATCCAAAAGCTCATTTTGTAACTATATTCTGAGTTCATTCAAAGCCGCTTTGAAATTTGTAAAACCTGGCTAAGCTGTGGATTGCACATTAAAACCTAGTTTATTATGATCTATGAACACAGATGTTGGAGGGGTTTTTAAAAAGCCACGGTGGCAGATGTGGGTACCCTCCCAGTTTGGGTACACACAACGAAACAATTCCAGCTTGCAGGGGCGATTTCACAAGGTGGCTAACCAAGTTGCAGCCTTCAATGAATGCCTTTAAAGAGGTGGGGGAAAAACAGCTATAATATTCACTAATTAATTTTTGTAATTTCTTTAAAATCTTATTTTTCATTTTTACTCTTTTTAAAAAATATGGAGTAAAAACAATCATTTAAATAACAGAAATGACTCCCTGGCCAGGCAAATTTGATTCAACCTCTTTTGCAGTGGTTGTTAAGCAAACGGCACAGCCGTTAAGCAGATCCCTTCTTGGCTATAGGGTGGGAGGTTTTCGTTGTTCTATTTTTAGAAAGTTTGGAGTCATTTTTTTGTTTCGTTTTTGACGTTTGAACCCAGGATCTCGGGGTGTGGCTGCAAAGAGGCCTGTCGTTCCGGCCTGTCTTTCGTTTACGGTAGATTTTTGTCCGGTCGCAGCCGAGGTTGTGGACTGTTTTCTTGTGACACACAATGTGCACCAGTTTCAAATTGTCCGTGGTGAACAAGAGCCGGTAAAAATATTCCCAGTCAATTTCCTTCCCGTCGCAGCCTTTCACGGCCTCGACTAAGGTGGGCAGGACAGCCCGTTTCTTCTCAATTCTGAAACAGAAAGGAAGGCCGAAGTATTTTCAACCGAACATGTACATTTAATGATATTGCTGTTTCTTTTGACATTCTTCCCCATTTTCCCCGTACAGCAGCCAGTTATCCAGCTGTGTAAGTGGATCCAGGGAGTTTAAAATTCAAGAGATACTTTTTGTTTACACACAACTGATCTATCACCGGGAGGGGCCAAAAACAATGACCAAACGAACAGGGTGGGATTGCGTTCCAGGACTCACATGTGGTCGAGGTTCCACGTGCTGAAGAGAATCCGGCTTTCTTTGTTCCCGTAAGGGTTGATGGAGTGTCTCCAGCAGCAGTCTTCGGTGTCAAAAGGGCCCTGTAGACGAGAGGCACACAAAGCTGGATACTAGTCGTCCTCAACTTACAACAATTTGTTTAGTGACCAATTGAAGTACTGACGGCACAGAAAAAGAGGACTTGGGACCATTTGAATGAATTATTGTAAGTTGAGACTTGTAGGTTTTATTTTGGCAGTCGCTATATATTGGGATAGTTGTTGGCTTCTCTGTAAAGGTAATCAACCCTGTGCCGGTAGTCACCAGCCAGAAAGAAACTCCCTCCCCCCATGTTCCCTGCAATGCCTGACCAAAGGTTCAACTTGGGAATGCGTGAATCACTCAATGCCACTCAAAAAGGAAAATAAAAATGCTTATCGCCTTCGCTTTCATACGTTTGATGTTCTCACAACTTACTTGGCACGAGAACCAGCCTTCCGGTGTGCAGAGGCGGCCTTTGGTCTCTTCCTTCCGGTCGAAATAGAAACCATTGTACTTCTCCAACTTCAGTTTCTCCAGCATGGCTTCGGCGACCCCGCTGAATTTCATTTGGAGGGCGGGAGGGACGGCAGAAATGTAAGCCCCAACCTTTGGAGAGAGAAACCCACAAGCTTTCAACATCTTATTTAAAAATATTATTTAAAGATAATTGAGCTTCCTTGCCAGTCTGTTCCCACAAGGCAAACTTCAGTGATTTTTACAAACCGAGCTGAAACCTGGTAGATCAAAAGCTAATTCAAACCCTGAATACGAATGGTGAAAGAAAACCAAACTAAACTATGAAATAGGATGGCAAAAATGCAGGGAATTACGGAGGTTGCCTTGCCCATAACATAAAAGGAAGGAAATCCCATTCGTGTAATATAGATTCATGTCTGTGTAGCCTTTGTGAGTTGCAGTTCACAAAAAAATACACTTGATGTTTCCATGTAATTGAAAGCACAAAATGGAAAGTTAGAATTACAAATATTAATGATGTGTACCAAACTGTGGTTCACTTCAAATTTTAAGCCTTTCATTTTTAATAAACTTTTTTGACTGTTAAGTGCTAGTCGGTTCTCTCGATGAGGAAGGGGTTGATCAATCACTTCTCAAATGCCTAATCATCATAACCAATGGTTGAGTAATATAGTAGGTATTGTGAAAGCAAAAATCTAAGATCAAAATAAAGACTACGTAGGGAGTTTTGCAAGCCACGTTACCTCTTTCATGTATCCACGGATTCTGTTCTCACAACTATGGCGCATATAACTGGACTTGGTCTTAAACCGAGATTCAACCCCTAGGAATGGTGGGAAATGAATGCCATCAGTCCCCAAAAAGCCTCTTGGAGCCACCTTCCAAACCTAAGTGAGATTTTTCAAGTTTCCAGTCCATAAGACTGTGCTTCCCAAAACTCTCGACATCCTGAGCATTTTTTACCCACAGACCGAACGCCAGGCAGAGGCACAGGACCTCAGCTCAGAACTGACCTTCAAACCACGCCTCGTCTTCCTTCCGGCTTTCTGCAGAAATATTTTCACTGAGGTTCTGAATCAGGTCAGACAGGAGTTTGCACCTCTTGGGAGCCTCCTCGCCTGACAGGAGCCCCTGAGCTGCGTGGAGCACGCCGGAGGAGCAGTTGGAGAAAGCACGCAGGAAGCGCTCGATCTCACTGACGTCTGCCGGGAGGAAAAGACGAGAAAACCAAGGATTGTTCATTCTTGCAGATGATCAGCTTTCATGGCAATCTCCGGGTGTGTGTTTATAATGTATACGTCTGTGCAGGTGTGTGTATGTATATATACATACATACATACATGTGTATATATGCATGTGTTTTATATGTACGTGTATATATCTATATATTGGATCTTTGAGGTTTGCACATTTCCTATTGCTAGTCCTTGGACAGCGTTTGCAGAGGACTAGCAACTGACCCTAAAGTGACCTATTTGGGGTTGGTTGGAAGAGGAGCTGGAGGGCGGAGGCTGCGTGCTGTGTGTCTTGTGTGTGTTGTGTCACCCCCACTTACATCCGCTCCATTCCTCTCCGGGGCGCAACAGGATCAGCTCGGCGTCCTCGGGCAGGGCACGGAAAGCCTCTTCGCTGATTTCGACGCCGTCCTCGTAGCGGCCCAGTCGGCAGCCCGCGACCAAGGGCGGCTGTGGGGAAGCGGAACAGCCGGTCAAAGGAACCGGCACTCGGACAGAGACGCGCCGGCCACCCCGCTCCTCCTCCTCCTCCTCCTCCACCCACCCACCTCCAGCAGGGAGGCCTTCCGCAGCAGCTCCGCGAGGCTCCGGGCCGCCAGCCCGTATTTGCTCCCTCCGGGCCCGGTCCGCACTTTGAAGGCCTTGGCCGCCATTGCCCCGGAAAACGCGCCCGGCGCCCCGATTGGCCCGGCGCGTGGCGAATCCGCCGCCGAGTCGCGACGGCGCATGTGCGGAAGGACCCGCTGCGAGCATCCCATTCGCTCTCTCTCTCACTCCCCTCCCGCCGGCCGCCACTGTGCCGCCGCGCTCGCGCCTGCGCAGTCGCATCGCAGCGGTTGCTAAGGGAACAGAGGCCCTGGTGATGGAGCCGGAATAAAGTAGGAGGCGAGGGGGGCGAGGGGCGCGGAGGGGGCTCCCCTTCTCCTTAGGCTCCCCTCTCCCCAACCGTGGGGGCTGGGGGGCGGGTACGGGTACGGGGGGGGGAAAGGGGCGGAGCCTCTCCCGGGTGCGGGGCCGGTGGAACTGCCCGAGACTAGATGGGGGCACCAGGGAGGGGGGCTAATAGAGCGGGAGCGGCGGTCTCATTATGACCATGGGGATTTATGGCTCTTCTTAGCGGGGACGTGGGGAGGGAAGCATCGGCGGATCGGAGAGGAGCCAGTCAAGGTGACCGGTGCCCCCCTCCCCCTCTTTTGTCCCCCCCACCCCTGCAGGCGTCTTCATGGTGGTGAAGGACGCGCGAGCAGAAGAGGCCGCCCCCGCCTGCCACGACGGACGGATCGGCTCCAGGTGGGCTGGGGGGGGGGATATGCATGCCAGCCCGGGACTTGCAAAATGTGCTAATCTAATGCATGCAAAACTCTTGTGCATGCAGTCATGCCAGTCCAACATATGCAGAGCATGGGCATGCAAACACTACGTGCATTCCAATACGTGCAAAACACACGTGGACGCAAGCCCAGTACATGCAAAGTATGCCATTCCAATAGATGCAAACATTTGTGCAGGTAATGCTCTACAAACAAAATTTGTTCAATTTCTGTAGCTCCCCAGAGTCACTTCTTGAGAGGGACAGCTACAGAAATCAAACAAATATTTTCCCCCTTCCGTAATTCCGGGTGAATTTGGAGCAGCTTGAATGGAGCTGAGCGTTGACTAGCTGGATGCCCTTCCTGAGGCCTATGCAGGGGTTGGCAGCAGATATTTTATCTTTGTGCCCAGAGAGAGAAACATCTGCTGCCACCTAAGATTGAACTCTCAGCCTTCGCGAGCGGGCAGCAGTCATCTTCACCACTAGGCCACCACACAGATCAAATAAATAAATAAAACATGCCGATCCAATACATGCAAAACACATGTGCATGTAGACCCAATACGTACAAAACATGCCAATAATTTATATCTTAAAAGCAGTCCTGGCTGACTCAAAATAATATGCAAATTCATTGGGTGCAGATATAAGAAATGCATATCCGTGTGCCTGAGGCCCCAAATGTGTGAAGAGCCCAATCTCCTGTTTGTTTTTATTTTTACTTTTATTGTGGTTTGTTTCCCACAACTGCTAATTGAGTTGAGTGGTTGTATAAACAGAATGCATAAAATCAATAAATAAAGACCGCAAATGTGAATGGTTGAGATGGAACTTTGGCTAACTTTCAAAGTTGCTTGCGTTCAAGAGTTAAAACACCGTAATCTTTGCTGGAGAGAAACCTTTTGCAAAAGCTGGCTGTTGTTTCTTCCCAGTTAGCACAAGAGGGCAGGATGCCACACAAGATTGGGTTTATTGTTATAAGTTCTTCCGGACATGAGGATGGCTTCAGTGCCAAGGAGCTGATGGTTCACGCGCCAACGGTCAACGGATGGAGGTCACCAAGGTCAGTCCCTAAGAAATCCTAGATACTTCACGTGCTCTTGGGGGCATCTTGCAAGAATCCAGAAAATGTCCCTCAATTTAAATAAATTTAACAAATAAATAAATAAATTTATATGCAGCCCCTCTTGTTTTCCACTGTTCAACAAAAGGTTCTCCCCCACCCCCGTCCCAAAAAAAGGTTAATAAAGCAATTAGAAAAAATTACAGCCTCTCAGTCAGAGGAATTTTTAAAAATTGAACAGCGTGTCTTTCATTCCCACTGTTAGGAGATCAGAATTTTGAAAATATCGTAATTCAAGCCCAGGACTGTAAAGCAGTCAGCCAAGAAAGTTGCTTCATAAGTTTCATGCATTTACTTTTAGCTTTATAGGTTTTTAGAGTCCTAGGGCTACAATATTTTATGTAGTGTTAAATTTATCCACGTTGAATTAGGTATATTCAGATAGCTTAGGTTTATAGAGATGTGGGAGTTTCTGACATTTTATTTTCCTTGCTTTTTTCTTCTCTATTTTCAGACTCTGCCAGTATCCCCAAGAAATAGTCCTCCAGATGGTGGAAAGGTGCAGAATTCGAAAGCTGCAGCTCCTGGCTCACCAATATATGATCTCCAGCAAAATTGAGTTCTTCATCAGTGAAAACTTGCCCGATTATTTTGCGCCCTATAAAACGGAGCAATTCCAGAGGCTGGGGTGAGCTTTCTCTTCCTTGATACGTGTCAGTTTTCTGTCTGAGTCCCTCAGGGGACTCAGCAACCCAGCAGAAGCGGGTTGTCAGTAGGCACGTGGGATTTGCCCAGCCCCCTGGCTGATTCCAGACCAACTGTAAAAGCAAGGTGCAACTCTAGATAGGCAGCCACAGATCCTAAAAGATGTGTTTGTGAATGTTGGCTGACCCTTTGCTTGTTCTCCTTTCCTCTGGAATTTGAGAGAATTTGTGTCTAACTTAGGATTCTAAGCCAATAATTTAAAATTTGGAGTCCGTCTGTGAAAAAAATGGAGGCCCATCCAATACACGCATACAAACCTATTGACGGTTCACTAATTCATTCCAGGAATCCTTTTCTTAGAATAAAATATTGATAGTTCATCAGCGCCAAAGGGTTCACAATACTTGTAAAGTATAACCTGCATTAAACCTCTCTGTTTTTTCCTCTTCTACAGTTATGTCTCCCTTTCCGATAACGAAAAGACCAACTACAGGGCCCGGGAATTGAAATCTGTCTACGTGGATGCAGTTGGCCAATATCTAAAGTTGACTTTCCACAAAAACTACGCCAATCGGTACAACCTGTACAGCCAGGTAAAAACTGGGTCCCCCTAGATCAATATTTCCAAACCGTGGCAACTTTAAGATGTGTAGACTTCAATTCCCAGAATTTCCCAGCAGGCCATGCTTGTCCACGCACCCCTTGCCAGAGCAGAGAGAGTGCAGAGAAAGGGATTATAAGAGAATAAAGTAGGACACAGTTTGGATACATATTAAAAGGAATGCATTGGTGCCAGGGAATTGGGAATTAAAGTCCACACGTCTTAAAGTTGTCCAGGTTGTGAAATACTGATCTAGACACACTGCTACCATGGTGAAATACTCTTATTAGTTCTCTATTAGCTGTTAATTACTCTAGGGATAGTTATCCAATGTGTTTGGAAGCACTAACTGAAGGGAACACAGTATAAAAACCATTGAAGTTGACAGTAATATTCTGATTTTGAACGGCCAGAGAGAACCTGTCTATAGATCCACAACCTTGTCTGGAAAAAAATGGAAATTATTGTTTCTTATTAATAAAAATAATTAATATAGAATGTATACGTTGACTTCCCCACACGGATAACTAAAAACAGAGTGGGACGTGGCTAGCCCTGTTTCTGTTGCCCTTTGTTCTTCTTCTCTTGCTTTCTTGAAACGAAAGGAAAGAGGTCCGGGATATCAGAACTTCCGCTCTCTTCTTCTGCCTCTTGTTTCTTCAGGTTGCTCTTGTGGCGATAAACATCATTGGGGAACCTGCAGATTTGAGCCATGAGAACAGCCAGGTGCGTCTGGGAAATTTGGGGGGGGGGGGGAAGCAAAATGCAAGGAGGGTCTTTCCTGCTTACCCCCAATTAAACAAAGATTTGCAACCGTCATAAGTTACAACTGTGATAGGCAGACTCCATTACAGTCGTAACTCAAGGAGCACCAATGTACAGGTAGACCTTGATACAGGGGTACAGATATAGAGGTCGTAATTCAAGGACCACCTGTATATCTATATATAGGTAGTCCTTGATTTACGACCACAATTGAGCTCAGAGTTTCTCTTGTTAAGTGAGATAGTTCACAAGTGAGTTTTGTCCCATTTTACGACCTTTCTTGCCGCAATTGGTAAGTGAATCTCTGCCGTTGTTAAGTCAGTCACACGGTCGTTAAATGAATCCAGCTTCCCCACTGACTTTGCTGGTCAGAAGGTCGCAAAAGGGGATCACGTGACCCACCCACCCCCGGGACCCTGCGACCGTCATAACTCTGAGGCAGTTGCCAGGCATCTGGATTGCGATCACGTGACCCTGGGGAGGCTGCAACTGTCGGGTGAAAAACGGTCCATGCGTCCCTTTTTCCAGTGTAGTTATAAGTTCAGCCGGTCCCTGCATGAACGGTTGTAAGTCGAGGGCCGCCTGTACTTGGGTCTTGCTGTGGTTCCCCTGCATTCGGCCCGTTTGAGTCAAAAGTTCTACCTGTTGTGGTTGTTATCAAGTCTTCCAGGGAGAAGCTGATCGACCATTACCTAGGGAGCAACTCGGATGAATCGGCCCTCGAGGGGAGCTACCCTGGGTGAGAACGGCCTGGCGGGGAGGCCTCTCCCTGCCCCTTTTCCTCCCTCCCCCACCCTCCCCACGCCCACCGTGGGCACGGGGGCCTCGTCCCAAACTGCCATTCTCCCCTTCATTCCAGGAAGGCCGACGCCATTTCTCCGCTGGACGATCTGGCTTTTGACATGTACCAAGACCCGGAAGTGGCCCAGATCATCCGGAAGCTGGACGAGAAGAAGCACGAAGCGGTGCACCTGGAACACTACGATCACGCCAAGAAGCTCAAGCAAGCCATCGCGGATCTGCAGAAGGTAGAGGGGGCGGCCGGCCGGGGTGGGTGGGGAAGGCGTGGGAAGGGGGGCTCAGCGGCCTTTCTCGTTCCCTTCAAACACCTGAAATGTGTGAAGGCTTTTCCCCTTCTGGGCACGGCACGATGTTGAACATCAAGAGGCCTCCTTGTTGGGATTGGGGTAACCCAGTTTCTTAAACCAGTCGTGGCTTAGTTTCTCATGGCTTTGAACGTAGACTTGATGCGGTACCCCATTCATTCATTTAATGATCCGTCGGGCCCTCATTCGCTCTGTGCTTAGAGGCTTTCTCTGTCATGACCGATTGCCCCTGCCTTGAGCCAGGGGGGTGGACTAGAAGACCTCCAAGGGGCTCGTGTTTCAGGTCGGGGAGCGGTTGGGGCGCTACGAGGTGGAGAAACGGTGTGCCGTCAAGCGGGAGGACTACGACTTGGCCAAGCAGAAGAAACAGCAGATGGAGGACTATCGTCTCAAGGTCTACCAGCAGTTGGAGCTTCATAATCTCTTGGACCCAGATCTCGCCGTGAGTGATCCCAGGAAGTGGGGGCGGAATGAGTGGGGCTTGTGGGGGAATTCTGGGAGTTGAAGTCCCTCCACCTTCAAGTGTCTGAGCTGGAGAAACCCTGGTTTAGATAAAGTGCCGTAGAAGCTGGTTTTCTTTCCCTTGCCAGCTTGCACCCTGGGCTGTGTCCAGGAACCATTCTAGTGACTTAGGAAGAGTCCAAGGGCAGCCGATTTTTGCACCCTGTAGAGGGAAATAAACCATTGGAGACTTTGCATCCCGCTTGTCTCTTGCGTGGGTTGTCCGAAAAGCAGAAGGGGCAGACGAATGGATGAACGAACGAATGGATTTCTCTCGTTCACTCAGATCCGGCGACTACCCGACCTGCCACTGGACCCCGTGGCTCAGCCCACCACGACTCTCCAGCAGAGGAAGCCCCTGCCGTCTCCCTGGAGGGAGAAAGCCAAGCCAGAGAGTCCGGCCTCGTTGCCCCCCGAGAAGCCCCCGGAAATCCCCTCGCCTGAGCCGGCCCCCTCTCAGGCCTTCTCTTCCCCCCTGGCCCAGGCAGCTCCCATCGCTGCAGAGACCTTCCCCAAGATCAGCGTAAGTCTGGCTCGACTCTGTCCTGCTCCTCCCGCCCCGTTTTCACCTGGTTTCTTTCTTTCTTTCTTTCTTTCTTTCTTTCTTTCTTTCTTTCTTTCTTTCTTTCTTTCTTTCTTTCTTTTTCTTTCTTTCTCTTTCCTTTTTTCTTACATTCTTTTCCTTCTCCCTTTCTCTCTGTTTCTCCTTCCTTTCTTTCCCCTTGTCTCCTTTTCCTCTCTGTCCTTCTTTCCTTCCTCAAATACCGAGTTCCCCTGGGAGAACCTTTTGCTGGTGGCGGGGAGGGCATCGAACCGAGGAGGAGGGACGTCACCCGGCCACTCGCCCTTCCCTTCCAGGTCGAGTTCTTACCTTACGACGAGCGGCCCCTCCCGGCCATCCGCAAGCAGCAGGAGGAAGGTTTTCCCTTGCTGGAGCCTGAGGCGAACGAGGAAGAGCCCGGAGACACGCCCAGGAGTGGGGTGGTTGGCGATCCGGAGCCGCTGACCGAGAAGGCCCTGCGGGAGGCCAGCGCCTCCATAGACGTTTTCGGGGAAACTCTGGTAAAGAGGGAGGCGGCTCAGTTGAGGGGCCTCTTGAGCTCTCTGGCTTTGGGATGAGTGGGGGGGAGAGGTCGGACGGGGGTCCCGGGGTCAGGAGAGGTGAGAGAGAGTCGGGACACGGCCCTGGGGATGCTGCGGCGGTGGTAAGCGTGGAAGGCGGCCCTGAACTCACTTTGGTGGAGATGCTGGTCTCTAGCCACGCCCCTAGTCACCTTCCTCCCTGGGCCTTGCTTTCCCCAGGTGGCCGGCGCCTATTCCAAAACCTGGTCGTATCGCGAGGACTCGTTGCTGGCCATCTACAAGAAAATGGCGGAGGCTCCCACCAGCACGCCCAAGGAGGAGCTGAAGAACATGCTCCGGGGGGCCGTCTTCCTCATCGTGAGGGCCATCAAAGATATCGTCTCTTCGGTGAGCGGAGGGGAAATCGGGGAGGTCGAGTGGGCGGGTCACCTCTTTATCCCACCGCCCCTGGTTCCTCAGAGCTCTCCCCCCGTCCGTCCCCCGTCCCCCCCGGCCCCGAGGAGGAGAGCAGTGGCTGGAGGGGCCTTGAGAGTGACTCACCTGGATGGCTCCTCTCGTCCAATGCGCCAGGTCTTCCAGGCCTCCTTGAAGCTGCTGAACATGAGCCTCACCCAGTACATCCCCAAGCACAAACTGGGCAGGCAGGAGACCGTCTTCTGCGTGGAGCGGACCTTCCCCAACCTCCTTGCCCGGACTGGGGACTCCTCGGCCCGCCTGCGGATGACTGCTGCCAACTTCATCCAGGTCAGTCTGCCGGCAGGGAATCCGTGCTGGGCGACGGGGCTGCAGCTGGAGGCTCGCCTTCCATTGGGATCCCAAATGCCATTTAAAAATGCACTGTGTTTTTTAATGTTCCTGCCTAGTCTGGGACTTATTTATTTTTTTTGGCGTTAATTTTTTTTTCTGTTGGGTTTTGTATTTGGATCTTCTGAATAAGATAAAAAAAAACGATGAATGAAATTAATTTCAATGCGGTTTCATACATTTCTTCATATATTTATGGTTTCATTTGAATGCGGTAAGCCGCCTAGAGTTGCCTCGTGTATAATAAATAAAGGAATAAGGAGTCCTCTAAGCAGTCCCTAAACGAACGGTTGTAAGTCCAGGACTACCTGTAAATAAACCACTTTAGGCTCCCGCCCGAGTCTCTCGTAGTTCAGGAGAACCTGGCTGCCCCGCACCGGCTGTTAACCCGCCCTGCCTCTTTGCAGGAGATGGCCCTCTGCAACGAAGTGAAGCCTCTGCAGATCATCCCTACCCACCTGGTGCAGCCCCTGAGGCCCAACTGCCCCACGCACCTGGCCATGAGCCAGGTGGAGCTGGTGGAGCGCTTGCTGAAACACCTGGGCACCGAGAACTCCGGCTTCACCATCGATAACGTCATGCGAGTAAGAACTGCGAGGCCCCGCAGCCTCCTCCTGTGAGCCAGTCCTGCAAAACGCAACCCAGGCCTTTCCCGTTTGCATTCTTTGCATCCCATCCCGACCAAATCTCTCTCTCTCTCTCTCTCTCTCTTTGCACCCTTACAACGGGTGTTTCTCCACCTTGGCAGCTAGAAGGGGCGTGGGCTTCAGCTCCCCGAGCTCCCCAGCCGGCCTGCAGAGAAAGGGACTCCCAGAGAGTAACCCAGCCGCCATGGGGATAATACGCCTCAGAGGGAAGGCATTAGACCTCTTCCAGTTGCCAGGCTGGGAGAAGCTCCCGATTACCGGCTCCCTGTGGCATATCTTGAGGTCGCTCCGGGACCTGAAGGATTGGGCTCAACACTCCCCCATTTGAGTCTGACCCGGAAGCTTTTCCGTCTCAGTTTGCAACAGGAGCTCTGGAGCACCGGGTTTTCGAGGTGCGGGAAACGGCTCTCCGGATCATCTTGGACATGTACCGGCAGCACCGAGACAACATCCTGGATTATCTGCCCCCCGACGACGCCAACACACGCAAGAACGTGCTGTACAAGTCCCTGTTCGACGGCTTTGCGAAAATCGACGGGCGACTCACGGAGGCCGAGCTCAAAGTAAGGGAGGGGCCTCCGTCAGGATCCTGCCCTTCGAAAGCCCCGTGTGTGGGGGGTGGGGGCTCGTGCAGAGGGCACGTCCTGGGTTTAGCTTCCCCCAGCCCAAGTTTGCTAGAGGGGGACAAGGAAGAGGCCGTGGGGTCCTTGGTGCTCCCTGAGCTGGGTGGCTTTCTTATGGACAGACGTTCCATGACCCAGCTAGGTAACGTCCTCCGTGCTAGAAGGAAGGAGGGGCTGCAGGGAGGAGGAAGAGGAGGGAGGCCCCGCGTCGGTCAGCTGGTTCTCTCCACAGGCCCAGAAGAAGTCGGCAACCGAGGAAGTGGAGAAGGAGAAGAAAGATGAGATCAAAGCCTTGCAAGGCCAAGTGGCAGCCCTGAAGGAGATGCAGGCAGAGGCCCAAGTTGACAAGGTATCCCAGGGGTTTCAAGACCCCCCCTGACCCATCGCCCCTGCCCCCACCCCAGCCAGCATGGGTCTCACCAGAGGTCGCCCTCCAGCACGTCTGTGGAGGGTCAGCCTGAGAAGGGCCGCTCCTGCCTCCTGCTGTTCCTCAGGGGAGCCCCAAATGGTCAACTGCCGTGCAGGATTTGGGGGTACCCAATTAGACCCCCCCCCTCTTTTCTGCCTTGTTAACTAAACTGGGCTCTCCGCAAAGATCCAGCCTTTCTGTTTCTTTTGACTTCCTTAATTTCGTTTTAGGAAAAAGATAGCGATTTCCAGAAATCAAAGAATCAAGGTACTTATTATTGTTGTTGTTGTTGTTGTTGTTGTTGTTGTTGTTATTATTATTATTATTATTATTATTATTATTATTATTTGCACCTGGGGAGCATTTGCCCTGACTAAATCCGGCTGCACTGTGATTTAATTCTAATAAAAACAAGAAGGGAGCATCCAACTCTTTTCAGACAGGCAACTTACAAAAAGAAAGGCCTTTTAATTTTTCACTAGATTGAGTTGTATAGGTAATCCTTGCGTTACAACCGTCTGTTTAATGACCGCTCAAAGTTACGACATCACTGAAAAAATGGAAGTTAGGGCCGTTTTCCATACCTGGGGCCGTTACAGGCCCCGCTGTGGCCACGGGATCCGAATTTGGCCCCTGGGCAAGTGGTTCCTCCTTCTGGAAGCCTCCTCTCTCTTCTCTTCCTCTCCAAAGCCGAAGCGTCCAAGAAGGCTGCCCAACCCGTTCCGGCCGATGCCCTTGATGACCATTCCTCGGTCGCCAACTACCTGGACAAGTAAGTAGCTGGGGGTTGTTGCCCAGCCCTGGGGGTGCTGTGTGTGTGTGTGCGGGGGCCGGGGGGCAGGATGTCTGGCAGGTGGTGTGTCCAAATTAGCGGCCTTTAAGGAGGGCAAGAATTCTGCCCCTCCTGTCCGGTGAGCAAATATTAAAGTCCATGTCGAGCCGATTCATTTGCTCACAAATAGCCCAAAGCGTCTCGTCCACTTACGGTCAGCCCTGAATTGGCCCTAGATAAGAGGCGATGGGATTCCAGAGGGGTTGGGCTGTTTGTGGCCTTAGAACTTTTTCGGCTTTTGCCAACTCCGGAAGGGCCTCAGCGGCTCCCGTGGCTCAGTCGGTGGGTCTCTTTCCACATCAGCCTGTGCATCTTCTGTGGGGAGAGGGACGAATCCTTCACCGAGGAAGGCCTGGACCTCCATTACTGGAAGCACTGCCCCATGCTGACCAGGTGTGACTTCTGCAAGCAGGTGAGCCTCCCCTCTGCCCCTGAGTGGCCCCCCCTCCTGAGGTTGTGGGTGCTCCGGTGCTGGAGGTTTCAGGAAAAGGTCAGACACTCCACACACACACACACACACACACACACACCCCGACCAGTTTGCCATCCTCTCAGGCCAAGGCTCTCTGCTGTTCTCTTCCCACCTGGGCAGGTGGTGGAAATCGCCAGCCTGACCGAGCATTTGCTGACGGAGTGTGAGAAAAAGGACAATTTTGCCAAGTGTTCTCGTTGTTGCGAGGCCCTGCCGAAGGACGAGCTGGCCCGGCACGTCAAGAGCCGGTCTTGCAACCGTAAGTCCTTCGTTTATGCCCGCCCGGGACATCACGTCGGCACCCGGGACCCTCCCCAGCTGACCTTCTCCCTCTCTCCTCTCTCCAGCTGCCAAGCCTGAGAAAGTGGCCAACCGTTGCCCATTGTGCCACGAGAATTTTACACCGGGCGAGGAGGTGAGAGCTGCGGGCATTAAGTGGAGGTTGTTCCTCAAGAGGAATTGATGGTCAAATTAAGGGGGGGCGGGGGGGGAACAGGGGAAGGGTCCCCTTCCTGTCCTAGGCGACCAAGGAGAGTGGCTGACTTGCTTTAAGAGGGGAAGGTGGCGTGGGGGAAACCCAGCACACTGGCAGAGCTATGAATTCTCTGCATGTCCACATTTCTTTTTATATTTCTACCTTTGCTTATATTTCTCAACTGATCAAAATTCCGGGTCTTGGCCAGCAGCATTTACAACCTTCTCTACTTTAAGAGCACACATGGCTGGGGGATGCTGGGAGTTGAAGTCCTCCCCTCTTAAAGTGGTTGAACCACACACTGCCCTGGGGGCTTACGAACAACTGATTGCCTGCGTCAAGATATAAAGCTATGCAAATGCATTGCATATATACAGGAGGAGGAAGAAAAGGCTTCTGACTCCAAATAGTGCGAGAGTAAGGGCACTGTGTCAGGATCTTGGCCCCCCCAAATAGTCACAGCGTTCCCCCCCCCC